TTACAATTAATAATGACAAGGAAAATTTAATCAAAGAAACTAATGTCACAGATACATACATACTCTGTCACATCGTGATGACGGTCAACTTGATGTTGATGATAATAATAGTCCAATAAACGAAGGAAACTTCAGGGCACTTTTGAAATTTCGAATTCAGAGTGGAGATATCCAATTGCGTAATCATTTAGAAAGTTCATCCGTTCGTTCAACATATATAAGTAAAACAACACAAAATGAACTCATTAATTGTTGCGGGCAAGAAATTTTTTCAACTATAATATCCCGAATTCAGAAAGCAGTATTTTATGGAATTATATTTGACGAAACTACAAATGTCTCCCACAAGTCTCAGTTGTCTCTTGTCATTAGGTACATTTATGACAACACTATTAGAGAAGATTTTATTCAATTCATCGACCTTCATGATGAAATTATGAAAAAAGATACCATTAACAATGAAAAATTAATGGAACCAAAGGTTACTGGTAGTAAATTAAGAAAAACAGTGGTAAAGACTTTGGAATCACTAAATTTGGATCTTAAAAATTGTGTTGCTATAACAACAGATTACTGTTCTATGATGGTTGCCACAAATGCTGTACATTGCCCTTGTTATAATCATTATTTGAACAATTCTTTATCTGCATCTTCAGATGTTCGAATAATCCGAAATTCTGTTGGCACTATGAAAGAAACGATATCGTTTTTCAATGCTTCAGCAAAGCGTTCCAACACATTAAGAAAAATAACACAGGCCTACAAAATTTTCGATTTTATCAGACACAGAATCAATATTTTTTTTACCTAAAGACATACATTTAATAAATTTGAAAAATTTTAAAGCAGTAAAAATAAGACACGTGTAAAAAACTAAATCCTTGAAAAAAAATGTTTCAATGTATCAAGAACAGTTAAAAGAAATATTTAACGAAATATAATATAAAAAAACAATAAAATTTTACTTGATAAAGTCAAACGTTAAAATATTTAATATTATCCTTCTAACTTTTTTTTGATTTATTTCTGTATCTACAAAAAAAATTAGTTTTGTAGTTTTTTGAAAACAATTTGATACGTATGTTTTGTTTTTCCCCAAAAGCTGATTTATGGGGGGGAACTACCCCTTGAATTTTTTTTTGGTAGGGTAACATTACACAGGCCTACAGAATTTTGGATTTTGTCAGACCCAGAAACCGGAATAGTTATTTTCGATGTAATTTGTCACGCTAAATCAAAAAATGACAAGGAAATTACTCTATCACGTCAGCATTTTGAGATATTCTAACCTAAAAGCGTGAAAAATGAAGTTTTTGGTAATATTTGACCTTCTATAAAATCGAAAAAAATTTTTTTTAATCATTGGTCCAAATTTCAAAAGAAAATATTATATTTCTCCTTTCAAAATTTTCTAGGTTGGATCTGATCCAATTTTTTTTCTCTGAGATACAACCATTTAAGTTTTACATTACATGAACTAAAATCCCTTTCAAAAAGAAAAATAAATTGCAAAGTACTCATGTCACTGAAATTTATTTCTCGGGGATTTTTGAGGTCGCTAATTACGAATCTGACGTCAGATTTTTGAATTTCAAAATGTCGGAACCCATATGGCGGACACTTTTTAAAAAAATTACCGAATTCGCTTGTCATTATTTACTTGGGGGTTTTTAGGGTCGCTGATTACGAATTGAATGTCAGATTTTTGAATCTGATATCACATTCGTAATTAGCGATTTTAAAACTTCCTGAGTAACAATTTTCAGTGCCATGAGTAGTTCGCAATTTATTTTTCTTTTTTAAAGGGATTTTAGTTCATGCAATGTAAAACGCAAATGGCTGTACCTCAGAGAAAAAAAATTGGATCAGATCAAGCCAAGAAAATTTTGAAAGAGGAAATATAATACTTTTTTTTGAAATTTAGACCAATGATTAAAAAAAATTTTTGTCGATTTTATAAAGTGTCAAATATTGCCAAACACGGCATTTTTACACTTTTAGGTTAGAATATCTCAAAATGCTGACGTGATAGAGCAATTTTCTTGTCATTTTTGGATTTAGTGTGATAAATTACATCGGGAATGATCATTCCTGTTTCTGGGTCTAAAATTTGTAGGCCTGTGTTATTTTACGAAATTTTTTAAAAATTAATGTGCAATAGTGTATCTGGGGGTTTTTTGGGTCGCTGATTACGAATCTGATGTCAGTTTTCAAAAATTGATAATAACGTATCTAATATGGCCGATAGAAGTCCATTTTGGACATGCCATTTTGAATTTTTGAAATTGACGCTACTCATTTTGAGACCAGGTTTTTTTGTGCAAAAGCGTTAAAAAATATTCATTTTTGTCAATTGAATTATTTATAAAATTTAATTATAATTAATTATAAATTTCAAAAAAATTATAATTTATAATAATAATAATTTATGGAAAAATTCTTTATTGAATAAAAAAGACAGAAAAAACATCTGAACTTATTTATCAAATAAATGACTAATTATGTAAACTTTTTAATGTTGTGTCTAAAAACTACCAGTAGCTTTATTTCAAGAATTAACGATTCAAAATTTTTTTAAATTCGTCTTATTATAAACAATTAAAAACATGTGCGTTAAAACTAAAAGCATTATAAGAAATTAACTCATTGTTTAATTTTCTCATCTTCTAATACTATTAAATAAATATTTGTCAACGAACAATGAAGAAGAGGTAAAAAAGTTGAAGGTTAACCATTTTTACGACTTACAGAAACACATTTATATTTTAAAATGAAAAAAACTTTAATTCACAATTTAAATTATAGAATAAACTTTAAAAATTAAAAACAGTCAAATAATTTAATTTCGAAATTTTTAATAATAATTTGTAAAGAAATGGAGATGAACATTTAAACTTTCTTGGCACTTTCTTTATTTTATCTTTTTATGCATAAAAAGTAGTAAGTTAAATAAACGCTCTAGTTGTATTTTCTCGAACTTTACAAGCTAGTATCTACGTTAAAGAAAAATAAAAAATTCTGTTTTATCAAAGGTGGGTAATGCGACTTCTAGAAGTTTGGCGGAGGCTCCTCCGTCTTGACAATTCATATCTGATGAATTATTTTGCCTATTCGGCGGTGGGAGTTGCGTCGTTGAAGACCCTATCCTCTGGTTAACAATGCGTTTTAATTCCCCCGGCAATGTTGAAATAATAGTTGGAGATAATATCAGCTTCCCTTTCGTAGTCCTCTTCATGTTCCGGATCGAGTACAAGTAGCTTTACCTGATCTGTTTCCAGTCAGAAAATTTAGCCACAAGATCGGTTAGCTTCAAGTCGAGGGTCCCTGGCAAAGCGTCCTTCACTTCCTCACACTTTAACCAATTGCTAGTTCTTGTCAACTTAGACTTGAACGTCTTTCGTTTAGTTTTTAAACTGTCGATGTTTCCTGGCATGATTGCAGTTGTTTTTACTGAAGATCTGAGACCTTGTAACAGAGTTTCTTCTACGTTGTATGTTCTTGACGGCAACAATTGGTGGAAGAGGTGGTGGTGTTGTAACATGAAATGAATCTCTAGTTGTAGTTGGTTCTAAAGATTCAGGGTTGTTAGTTGTCTTGCCCTTAGGAGAGTGAACTACACTCATTGATATCGCTTAACACTTTTTCACGGTGCTCCACAGCACGAAATAACACTTAAGTACCCACGCACTTGATAGTTATTCTGTGAAAGATTTTGAAATATTGTTAAAGTGCTAATACACTTGATAACTATTATGCACAGTCACTTAATTAATATTGAAATGCCTATACACTTGACAATATTAAACACAATCACTGAATTAATATGGAAGTGCCAACACACTTGACAAATATTGAACAAAATCACTGAACTAAGATTGACGTAGTAACACACTTGAGAACTTATTCGCGAACAGTCAATTCACAATTATTTAGCGAGATTTAGTTAACAATAAAAGTATATCCGGCTCGAAGGACCAAATAATGTTTTGTCACCGACTGACAATCTTGATAAAGATTCTAAATAGATTTGTGAATTCTTTTTAGTTCCACAATACAAAATCAATCAAATGAAAAAACTTGACACGCTGTAACGTTCTTTGTGTCAATAGATTTTTAGGATAGAGAGTAAAGGATAATTCATCTAATAGTCACAATTTTTGATATGTAACACATAAATAACTATTTATTTCACTAATATTAACGGATACACTTTTGATGTCTCTATGTTTATTGTTTGACTTAGACTGATTTAGTTAAGACTAGGAAAAAATAATGTGAGTGGTTTTTCTTGAAGGAAGAATTTTCGCCTTCGGAAAGGAGGGATTTTGAAAACTATAATTGGTTTGGAACCAAGAATTTCTTAATTGCGTTAGAATATTTTTGCAGCTGACAGGAGAAAATTACTTTATTTCGGTAGTGTAATAAAATGCAGACACTTATAATTTGATCTGAAAATAGCCATTTGAAAAAGGTTGAATATATTGCCGTAAATAATATTCCTAAGTTAATGGTACGGATGATAAGGAAAGGTATAAAAGCTACTGTACTTGAAAAATCTAGAGGATTTAAGGAGCACATGTCTCCAGGATTTAAAAGGCTGGGGAAAACCAGTCTCATAACTAAAATTTTAGGATCTCAAATCATAAATTATATTTTATAAAGTAAACATTAATGGCTAAAATCGAAACAGCAATGTTTAACTTGATTCTTTTTGAATTAATACACAACAAATTCGGCATTTATAATTAATTATTATTAAAAATCGTCAAATGATGTTATTTGATTATCGAACATTAAAATCACATTTTAATTATTTTTTTAATATTTAACTATTTTAAACAATAAAAACTAATGAATTTAATCACTCTAAACAAATACCAATAAAAATTTCTGAATTTTAAAGAATTATTCTGTTTTTTAAATTATTTTCTATGTACTAAAAAAGTGATGGTTTTTTAACTTCCTATTCTTTAAACTCGTATATTTTAAGAGAAATAATAGAAATTTTAATATAATTTTTTATTTTATACACCAGATATCTTACAGAATTATTCAGTATTAATTAAAATATTAATTAAATATTAATTAAAAAGAAAATACTTCTCCACCACTTTAGTCGAAATATAATGAAGTAATTACTCTATAGTCAAGAAATATAAAACAATTAGCTATTCAAAGAAAATAATTTGCAAATAAATATTTTTTTAAATGATTTTCTAGTTAAAAGATATATCTAAATAGTTCTGGGTTCTTATGACAGAGATCTAACATTCTAAGGTTTTCTTTAATATGCACCAATCGTTGATCATTTTCTTCAAACATTTTTTCCTTTACAATTGTATCGACAATATTTTTGTAGAAATCCTAAAATGAAAAATTCATGTACAAAATTAATAAATTTTTTGACAATTTTTTAAGTCTCTTTTAAATTTATGTAGGTGTATGAAATAAAATTTTTTAAAATAAATTACCAGTATATTGTCCTTCATATAAAGAATAATTTTTATTAGAATATCACCTAATGATGACCAAATTAAATTTGATCTCTCACGTATACAATACGATAAAAGTTTGTAAAAATTTTCTTTTGATAATTTTCCTTTAAGATAAAACCAACCAGCGTCGTCCAAAATTCTAAGTCTATTTTTGACATGAATTTTCGTATAGTTCTTGGAATTCATGAAATCTGTTATTTGTTGCCAAGTAGTTTCGTCATAATTAACTCGATAATACCCTGAAAAATATGTTTATATTATTAAATTAATACAAATTTTTTATAAATATTTTTTGGAAGTGAACATTTTTATTATTCTTAGAAAAAAGTATATTGATTGTAGAGTACCATTTTGCTGTATGTTGAAAATAATCCAATCATTCAAACTAACATTATTTATGATTAATTCATTCATTGAAGGAGTAAAAAGATTAATAGTTTGTGAAAAATTAAACTCAAGTAAAGATTCTGTTGTATAAGTTATTGGAATTGGCCATTTTAGATCCGTGGAATTATTCTCTTCACATACATAACATTTTTGAGTTAATTTTATAATTCCTGTTGCATTATCTCTAAATACATCGATAACTGGATATCCAACTTGTGTAATATAAGGCATTATTAATGACTTGACATCCAATGAGTCGTATTTACCCCGTAAATAAGTGGAATTGTTCACAGATTCTTGAATAGTTTCAAAAAACTGATCCGTTGAAATTGTACTAAATTGGCTGTTTTTGAAAATTATTTTTTTGAGGTTAATTATGAATTTATTATATTATTTGATATTTAAATACTTTCAAATTTAACAATAGATGGTTTCTTTTTAATCAAAATTAAATATTAGTCAAAATTGAGAAAATTCGACTATGTTAATATACAGGAAATTTGGAAAATTTAATTATACGAAAAAGAAAATATGAATAAACAGTTGAAATTTTTTTGTAAGAAAATTTTCACGACTACCTAAAATTTAGTAAAGGATTTACTACTTAAAAATTTTAATTACACAAACTTTTCTTGTTTATAAAATTAACCATATATCCTGTTTTATTTTAAAAAATGATAAATAAAATTAAATAATGATTTAATTGTCATTTTTTGAAACAAATAATTTGTAATTTTTTTTAATAAATTAAAAATTACTTACTATTCTTTTAAAATTTTCTTGATTCCATCGTTTAGAACCTGTCTGCTAATTATGCTGGCTAACATATTAAAAATTATCTGCGCTATAAAATGGAAATAAAAGTTTATAAAAGTTGCAAAAAAATTAATAAATTTTTTTCTTTAAAGCTAGTTTATGTTTTAAAAATATTTGAAAGCAATATTTGACAAGAAATCATATATGTGCGATCCTTCACGATAAAAGGAACCTTAAATGAAAAAAATTTTAGATTATGTTTAGTGATAGTTTTAACTTGATCTGACGTTCATTTTTAGTCATGCATAAAATCAAAATCAGTTTCTTTTGCATATTTTGGATCTAATGATGACATAAACATTAGTGATTTGTATTAAGAATTGATCCTTTCTGTATATTTTCAATATAAAAATCACAAATTTAACATAAAATTTTTTGACACTAAGGTCCCTTTTTTTGCAGAGCGTCATATATTACTTTCCATTAACGTAAATTTTACAGAAATTGTTGTTCTTTTTGAGTTTATAGCTCCTAAAATTTCAGCAATATTGCTGAAACTAATGAAGTTTTGGGAAATATTAGAATTTTGAGAAAATGTTGCCAATATTGCTGATAGTTTAGGAGTAATGTGGGCTTAAAAATAGTTACACACGTGTTAATGGTTTTTAATATTAATTAACTGACATTTAGAATAAAGTGTTGTAATATCATGAAAGATATTAGATGCATAATTTATTTTTTGATGAAGAGGTTGGCAAGTTCGATCTTCTTCAAGTAAGAAACTTCCCCGCAGCTTTCGATAGAAGATTTCTGTCTCAGTGTTCTCTTGTACTCCCATCTATGTAATAAAAAACAGTAAATATTTCTTCTTAAAAAGCTTTTTCAACGGCTCCCCTAAGACTATAAAGACATTATTATGTGAAAAATTTAACGAGTGGAGGGGGGGAAGGACCGACGCGACTCTAGAAAGGTATCAGCTCTTGCCTTCAAAATTAAACCAACCCAGATAGAAATTTTTTATTATTTATATTTTATTTCATTTTATGCATACCTTGTCAAAAACTAAAGTTTGATAATAGCTTGGCAAACCCTCTGTTATCCATAGGTCGGACCACCATGCAGGTGAAACTAGATTTCCTATCCATTGATGAATTATTTCGTGACATATAGTTCCTCCCATAGAATGTAATATTACATTATCAGTTTTATTGTGAAATAAAAAATCTTCTTCTCTAAGAAAAAATATTTCTTTATTTAATAAAATCCCATCAGTGTCAAAATGATTCGTTTCTTTAATAACTAAAGTTAAAAAAACATGTTATGCTATCTTTTTTACTTATATTTTAATAAAAACAATTTTTTATTAAAATTTTTATGAAAACGGTTCATAAAGTATTGCGGGAAGTACTTGAAATAAATAAATAAAAAAATAAAATTATTTACTTGATTAGAATTAATCCCCAATTTTCCATTCCGGAAATGAAAAAGTCTTTCACAAGAAATATATCCATTTTTGGAAGGGAATATGGAATATTGGTGAAATTTTCAAAACTTTTCATTGCGTCAACTGCAACTTTAAATCCATATTGAATTAGATCATCAGCAACATTTCTTCTCGTCCAAATGGAAAAGTTCTTGTGTTGATTGGTTATCTCTTTAAAATCAGAAACCGTGAATGCCACTGTGTAAGTAGATAATAATGGGGTTTTTTCAAATTCCGTCCAAATTTTTCCATTATCCATATGTATTGGTTTGCCTTTTATTGCCGGCATATTGGAGAGAGCTGTATAATTTGAGTAGTGTTTTATAGCAATCTTAAAAGAGGCTTTTAATGCGGGTTCATCCCAACATGGAAATGCTTGTCGAGCAAAAGTTGGTTGAAATTGTGTTAGTGCAAAATATCTGTAATTTTTCTAATGTTAATAAGTGTAAAATGGGGCAGAAAATCAACTATTTTCTAAAAATAATGAACAATTCTTTAAAATTGACTTACGTTGTGTGATTATTTTCGTCAATATAAGAATTTTTATAGAATCCAGTTTCACTATTACTATTGAAATCTCCATGAAATGATAAATTAAGTTCATATTGTCCTCGATGTAAGTCATTTTCAAAATTAATTATCAAAAATTCGTGATCTTCATCCAGTGTATGATTTACAGGTATAAATTGATTTTTTTTACTTTTTAAAATAGTTTGCGAAGTGTCTATTGTTAATTTTGATGCATGTAGGGTCAAATTATTCGTAGTACTAATAATATCTATCAAAATAGAAACTGACCCTTCAAAAGTTCCATTTTCAGCACTCAAATCAGGATTTAAGAATAATTTATAAGTAAGCGGTTTTACATTGTTAGGTAAACGATATTCGTCTGATTGTGCAAATAATGCCAAATTAGAAATGAGAAATATCCCAAAAACGTATAAATTTGTTGACAGCATATCGAAACTTTATTCCTCGATATTATGCAGTTACTGTGTAAGAATAAATTTTTTGTGCTAATTATCAAAACAAAATTGTACGTTTGAAAATTAACTTTATCGAAAAAGAAGATCTTCAATTTTGAAAGTTAAATAAAACTAAAAAAAAAACAACAAGTCATTTAAAAAAAATATATGAACACTTTGAGTATAAATGGTTTTTATAATTAAAATTTTGACTTACTTAAATTTAAATACTTAAACGTGCGGTTATATATTTTTTCTTGCATCATTTGGGTTCTAAAATCATACTGGATGGTCAAAAAAATAAAATTTTAATTTTTGACCATATCAATAAAATTTTTTTTTGGTGTCATTGGTGACGAATTTGATGTTAAGTAAGCAATAAGTTGCAAGTTAATCATTAAAAATTTCTGTTTGTTGGTTAATATCTATTATTGATTTTGCAATTTTTATTATGACTTTTATCCTCTCTCTCAATTTCAGCAAAGGCGTTGGAAAAAAATATAACCTTGTTTAATAATTTTAAATTTAAGTGGGTCAAAATTGGAGGTGGTGCTTCCCTTTAATAATCCTTTGGTTATTTTGTTGACGATTATATATTTAACATTTTATAAAATTAATGTATTTATTAGTAACATGTTACAGTTTCGGTTATGTTTAATTCTATTTATTATTTACCTTTCGACAGCAAATAGACTTTTCAGAAATATAATCCTTTTACAAAACTATAAAACAAAATTTTGAAATAATAAAAAATTATTTTAAATCTCTGTAGAACAAAAATGACATATAAAAATTAATATTACAATTAAACTTACGGGTTATAATATCATGTTAGAATTAAAGAATTAAAATAATTCATTAAAATTAAAAAACCACTCAGACAGAATGAAAATTAAATGGTTACCGTTGGAACTAGTGGATTATTTAGAAATAAAACTTTGAATTTCAAAGAAAAAATGAATCAATAAAAGTTTCTTTGATACTAAAATATTTTTCAATATTTGAATATATCAAACTAAATTTTATTCATTTTTTATGTTCAGAGTTGTTAAATGATAATTTTTAATATTGTTCGACAAACAGATATTTTTCAAGGCTTCAGTTTTTTACACGTGGCTTTTTATTGCTTTAAAATTTTTAACATTTATTAAATTTTATACATACACATTTAATTTACACACACACACTTGTTGCTTCTTTGTTAAGATATTGACTCTTTGCAAGTAAATAAATTTTGTTCAAAATACGATTAATTTTCAAAATTTGGCGCGCATGTTAAAATAGATTCATAATTGAATCAGTTAAAGTTTCTTTGATACTGAAATATTTTTCAAATTTTGAATTTATCAAACTAAATTTTATTCATTTTTAGGGTTCCGTACTCGGTTCGGAACCCTATTAATATCGGTTTTTTTGAAATCGTGTACCCCCCCCCCTAGCGGCCACACAAATTTATCTGGAGGGTTGAAAATTAGTACACATATGTATTTTCGCGTGTAGATTACAGGAAAAATATAGCGAACTTGATTGGAATTGATTAACATAGCGTTGTCAAGGAAAAACCATGAATTTTTACGAAAAATGCCTAAAAATGACTATGTACCCCCCCCTAGCGGCCACATCTTTTGACATAAAGAGCTCAAATTTGGTACACTTACGTATTTTTACGTGAAAATTACAGGAAAAATATAGCGAACTTGATTCCGATCAATTTACATAGCGTTGTCAAGGAAAAATCAAAAATTTCGAAAAAAATGATTTATTCTCCCTAGCGCACACAATATTCAACCCAAATTGTTCACATTTGCTGTAAAACTGTATTTTTGCGTGAAAAATACAGGGAAAAAATGTAAGCGCGATTGGAGTTGATGATCAATTTTTATTAAATTTTTGAAGAAAAATGATAAATTTAATAAAAAAATGTATTTTTCCGCAAAAAACGAAAAAAATCGGACAAGTGCGAGTTACACTCGCACTGAAATCGAGGGTTCCGTACTCGAAGCGAACTTATTTGGTATAAAAACAAATGTTTAAAAAATATGTGTTGTGTATTAAATAATATATGTGATACAAAAATGAACAATTTTTAAAAAAAAATTTAAGAAAATTGTTCCTCCTTTGGTATAAAAACAAAAAAAAATTTTAAATTTGTTTTGTATTTCAAATAAGATAAGTGATACGAAGAGGAACAATTTTCTTAAATTTTACAAAATTGTTCCTTTTTGTATCACTTATATTATTTGAAATACAAAACAAATTTAAAATTTTTTTTTGTTTTTATACCAAAGGAGGAACAATTTTCTTAAATTTTTTTTTAAAAATTGTTCATTTTTGTATCACATATATTATTTAATACACAACACATATTTTTTAAACATTTGTTTTCATACCAAATAAGTTCGCTTCGAGTACGGAACCCTCGATTTCAGTGCGAGTGTAACTCGCACTTGTTTATATTCAGAGTTGTAAAATGATAATTTTTTACTATTGTTCGACAAACCGATAATTTTTCAAGGATTCAGTTTTCTACACGTGCCTCTTTATTGCTTTAAACTTTTGAACATTTATTAAATTTTACTAAAAATGTTAGTTTTTTTGGATTTAACTTATTAAGACCCATAGATTACACAGCGATTCTAACGCCAAACTAACTATTAGATTTATAGCATAACCGAAAAAATTACCCTTATTTTTTCTTTTTGCAAAATTATTTCATCGATTCTTAAAAAACCAGTAACGCCATTTAAAAGAACGCGGAAAAATAATTAACTTTTCTCTTTATAACTTTTTTATCTGTCCACATATTTTTGTCGCTTATCACGGTGCGCCTAAACTGGATTTGAATAAAAAATCTTTGCTGATGAAAATTTCTTCTTGATTTTGAATCAGTAGTGTTCCCTGATTAAAAAAATATAAAAACTAAAATAATCCGCAGAAGGGCTTTTCAAGAAAAGTGACTTTGAATAATTTCGCATTTGAAATTTTATTCCTTATTTATTATGGAATATCTTACTGTCATGGCCACATGAAAATACGATCAACTATTTTCGATGAAAAAAACAAAATGGCGGACTTTTTTTATTTTTGACCTTGTTTTTTCAACTTAAATTGTTTAAAAAATGGTTAAATATTAATAAAAAATTATGATTGTAGTTACGATGATACACTGTAAAAAAAGGAGTTGAATTTCAACTCCCTAGGGGATGCTATAAAAGTCCCACTCTTTTGGAATTGAAGCGAAAGGAGTTAATGCTTTACGAGTTAATTTAATGCTATGAATTAATTTATATAAATATTTATATACATATATGTATAGTTTTATATATAGTTATATTTATATAGATGGGGTAAAATTCCTGTAGCGTACTAATTGTTGCGTAGCAACGTCGCATCAGATGACTGCGTCAGCAACTTCGCGCGCAATTCAAACGTAACACACGAAAAAATTAATCACTATTTTAGAAAAAAATCACTCTTTAACAATTAGTAATTGATTTGTTATTTGTAGCGCAACTTCATCATTATTTATCGGAACTTCCATGTTTTAAATTTCAAATCAATTCAACAAAAAATTATTGGTTTACACGGAAAGAAATCTTGTTAGAATATTTAATAAATCTGAATAAAATTTTTGATATTTTTGTTTTTCAATTACGAAACATTCTGGTTTGATAATAAAAGTTGGTGTAGTTTTACGAATATCTTTAACTAAAAACATTTTACGGAAACTGAAATTATTATTTCTTAATTCAAATCTACAATTTTCAAATATTGAAAAAACTATAGAAAAAAATAGTATAGGAAGTAAACAGTCTAGCACTTTGTTATTTACTATACGAAAAACAAGAATTTGCTAAAACTATACGAAAAAGCAGGAGCCGTGAAAAAAATAAGAACTTCGGAACCACCAATAACTCTTTTCTGAGGTTTTCTTAACTTTTCTATTGGAGGGTAGTGAGGGTCTTTCTTAATACACATACATAACTGATACGCTTCGATTGGCTTAAAATTATTTCTAACACTCGTTAGTGATCGGTCAAACCCGATCGGACTCACTCGCTTAACTTCGTCAAACTTCTGTGATTTTTGATATTTTTCTATCATTTTTTGAAAGAAAAAGTTTCTATTAGTATGATATGTAAATACAAGGAATGAAACTATTTCACCGTCCGACAAAATTCAACTTTTTTTTCACACACGAAAAAATCAATGATTTTTAGAAACTAGGACCAAAAAAAAGATACCCGTGTCCGGCCGTTTTGCTAGATCAGGTAATTTTTTGCTTTTAGGGGTAAAAAAAACCCTTAAATGACACGTGATAGGAAATCTTGTACAAATTAATAATTTTTTATGAAACCTGGTATCTCGGGGTTTTCCGGGTCGCTGATTACGAATCTTATGTCAGATTTTCAAAATTCAAAATGACGGGTCCAATATGGCGGTCGAAATTTATAAAAATTTACCAATTCATTTGAAAGTTGTTACTTAGGGGTTTTTAGGGTCGCTGATTACGAATATGATGTCAGATTTTCAAAATTCAAAATGGCGGATTCAATATGGCGTTTGAAATTTATAAAAGTTCGTCGAATTCACTTTAAACTTGTTACTTGAAGGTTTTTGGGTTTGCTGATTACAAATTTGATGTTGGGTTTTCAAAATTCAAAATGTCGAACCCAATATGGTGTTCGAATCTTTAAATCGTAAAAATAAGCGTCTAAAATTTACACAAACGTAATACAAGATTTGTTATGAAATGCTTCTATTAATTTTATTTTATTGCATTATATTTGTTTAATAAATTTTGATTATAACCTTTTGAATTTATTAATTCTAATAGAAACTTAGTTAATAAATACACAAATTTTCATATTAAAAATCACTTAAAATAAAAATTTTAAAATGTTGGCTTGCAAATTTTAACAAAAAATTGATCGAACATTTAAATTTTCAAAAATATTTTTCAGATTTGTGATCTTCACCTTTATGAGATTTGGCGTTTTTATAATTCCTATCTGACATCATTTTCGTACTCAGAGACGCCGAAAGCCCTTAGAAACCAAGTTTTATAAAAAATTAACATTTTTTATAAATTTCAACCGTCATATTAAGTCTGCCATATTAAATTTTTAAAATCTGGCTTTAGATTCGTACTTAGCGACCCCAAAAACCCCTAGATACCAAGTTTTACAAAAAATAATTAATATTTATAAATTTCGACCGCCATATTGGATCCGCCATTTTGAATTTTCAAAATCTGACATTATATTCGTTATCAGCGACCCAAAAACCCCTAAGTAACAACTTTCAAATGAATTGGTAAATTTTTATAAATTTCGACCGCCATATTGGATCCGCCATTTTGAATTTTGAAAATCTGACATGAGATTCGTAATCAGTGACCCGGAAAACCCAGAGTTACCAGCAGTGGGATTACTAATAGCGCTAGTTGCTATGTAGCGCTTTTTGTTATTTAGAATTAAAAACTTACATATTTTTAGTGAAATTTGTTCCAAATCATGGCCAAAATAAAATACCGTTGACAATTTCTTCAAAGCTTAAACTGCAAGATGGTAATTTAGAAGAAACTATAAACATAACCCCTCTAAATAAGGACATTGACATAGAATTCATGTCAATTTCCTAAAATATTTTATCTACGTAGCAAACAAATACAACATGAAGGTGAAATCAATTCTCTAACTTCATGTTTACCAACTGTTAGTTTCAATTAAAATAATTAACTAGTGACGAAATAAATTATACTTTAATATTGCAAATAACCTATTAATTTCATAAATAACAACTTTAACACTAAATTATTTAGTTTAATGTTAAAATAATTTATAAAGGGAAATAAATTTTTTTAATTTAATTTAATAAATAAAAATTTTAAATTAGGATAATCTTTACCAGCCTAAATTTAAAAATTGATAAATTTTATTAATTAAATTAATTTAAAGTTTCATTTTTTGAAAAACTCTTTAACTCACAAAAAATGCCCTATACATTTTTTTAGTAAACCCTTGCGTGAGAACAAAAATTCTATTTCTGAGGTTAAATCTTCAAAATTTTTTTAATTAAATTTTTTTCCCATTTTAGACAATGTCTAATAGAAACTTTTAATCCTATGAAAAAGATAATAAATATAAATGCAATTAATATTTAATTATTAATATAAAAAAGAAAAGCAAATAGTTTATTATTATTAGATAAAGTTGAATTATTTTCTTGAATTTTTGTAAGGATAGAAATTGTAAATAAAAGTGTTAATATATTAATATTAATAATTATCATCGCCTCGAATTGCCTTTTTATAACTTTTGAGATTTGAAGTGTTACACTTGAAAAATTTGTCAGCCTTTTAGATACTTCTTTTAATTGCTTCATTTGATACATTCTTGATTCTAAAAAAAAAATTGTTAAATTATAAAATAAAGCAAATATGAGAAAAAAATACACAGAAAAACAATTGTACCAACCTAAATCTATCAAAATAATACCACTTTTTTAAGTCACCCGATAGCTAGAAAATTTTTTAAAGTGAATGTAGCTTTGAATCACTACGTAGCGAAATCTTCGTAGCGCTGTCGCTATTTGTAATCCCACTCCAGGTTTCATAAAAAATTAGTAATTTGTACAAGATTTCCTATCACGTGTCATTTAAGGGTTGTTTTTACCCCTAAAAGCAAAAAATGACCTGATCTAGCAAAACGGGTAGACAGACACGGGTATCTTTTTTTTGGTCCTAGTTTCTGAAAATCATTGATTTTTTCGTGTGTGAAAAATCGTGTCTGACGGTGTTTTAACACCAATCCACCTTCTTATCGACTATATCAAATTGTAAAATGATTATACCAGTTACCGGAATACTAAATACAGAAATTGAAATATTTTATTCTAATACTTGTTCAGGGCGTATTGGACCTTAACATTTGGAGTTTTCATAATACAATTATGAATTTCGCAAAAACTATTCTTATTTTTGTTTCTAAATATATTAAACTTTATTATTTTTAT